CCCCCCGAGGCATACCTTCCTTAGCACTCTGCACTTTCATAAAGTACAACACAACTTGTTATATGTTCACATGGGTCTGTTGCTTAACAATCTGCCTCTCCTACCTGAGTGGAACCTGTCTCTCTTGCTCACTGTTTTTTAGCCGACATTTAGTGCCTTACGACCAGCTACACGTGCCAGGCAAGTGCCCTCAGCAGGACTCTAACTCCTGCTCCCCACCTGCTGCTGTCTTTGTCTCAGACGGCTCTCCGCTGTGGTTGGGGCTTGGTAAATATTTTTTATGAGTGAATGTTGAATGAGGTGATGAGGCAACTCTAGAATTCAGATATGTGGCAGGTAGTTGGCCACAGAGAGGGGTGTCATCATTTCTCAGCTATTCTCTTCCTGTCCATCCCTAACCCAGGCCCAAAATAATAGCTCTTCATTATCAAGTGCTTCCTGAGTGCCAGGAACTGGTCCAAATACTGCACATGTACTAAATGAGTTAATATTCAGTTCTCACAATCCTATGAAGTAGTTACTGTCACTTCCTTTTTACAGGTAGGGAAACTGAGGCACAGAGCACTAAGGTCCCCTGCTCAAGGTGACATGGCTGGCAAATGAATGGCACAGCTGGAACATGAACCTGGGTAGTTTGGCTTCAGCGACTATGCTTTGAGCCATTACATTCTAGTGCTTCTCCAAACCTAGAGTGTGTGACAGGAGAACCTGGGGAGAAAGAGCAGAGCGCTTTGGAGCCCAGGAGAGTTTGTGGACATTCCCTGTGATCTCCCACAAGGATCCTACGGTGCTAAATTATGAAGTCCCTCAGTCTAGCAACTTCAAAATAATTACGAGTCTTTTTAAACAATACAGGGGTGTGGGATGACATGCTAGGTTTTTATGTAGTTAGGGTCAGGCCCCTGAAGGTCCGGGTTGAGGGCCCAGGCTGGCCAGGACCCCGCCTTCGGCACAGAGGACTGTGGAGGACAGCTCGGTAATTGCCCACTCTGCAGGCTTCTACTTTGGAACGTTCTGCTTGGTAGATTAAAGGATGGATTCTGGGCCACTTAATCTCCAGTTGCCGAAACAGTCATCTAGGCATTTATTAGGTGGTTATACGGAACATAACCCACATAATTACCAGGGAACACGGCCCACATAATTACCAGATGCCAAATTGTATCGAATTTCTACATAGGTGACATCAAGTTACATAAAGCTCTGAACCAGCAGATATGTGCACAGTGATGTGAGGAAATAGGGAGAAGGTGAGAAAAGAATTAGTAAATTCTGTCTTAGAACATGGGTTTCCAAGATTACACAAGATACCCTCCAATGGACTCTGCCCCCACCTGTTGGGTCACGGATTCCTGGTGAGGCAGGGGGCGTGGAGGGCTGTGCTAGTAGAGGTTTTCACGGTTATAAAGAACCCGGTGACTTTGGCTGTCTTAAGCAAATAGAGCATTTATTAGAATGATGCTGAGTATCACATGAATCCAGGGAAGACCCAAATAAGCAAGGTCAAGCAGCTAAAGCTGGACAGCCGCAGTCACACCATGAGTTCAGAAGACAGTCCCAGAGAGGAGCATTCGGCAGAAGACCCGGTGGGTTTCCACTGCATGCCTCCTTCCTGGCTGTTCTCAAGGAAGCCCTCCTGCTTGCAGCACCATTTTTAAAAAACAGTGATGAACAAATATTCTACATGTCCTAATATCCCGATCCCTCCTGCCCCAGAATGAGCCTGTGTTCTTATCTCTAGAATGGAACATTTTGTCAGGAATCGAAGAGATGATATTGTTAATACAGGAGGCGCTGTCATTATTCCACTAACACAGTGACTCAAGATACTAATATGTTTAATCATTGCCCACCTCAAATTCTGCTTTTGATGCCAAGAACTTTTTTTAAATTTTTTTGTTGTTGCTGAGGATGCTCATGTCCCACTTTCTGGCATAAGTCACTGAGGGATTGGAGGGCAGCACCAGTCTTGTCTCTTCCCTCCCCTTCTCCACTTCTGCTATTTCACTGGGATCAGTTTGCCCTCTTCTGGTTTCCTAGTGATCTCAAGATTCCAGGGAAATGAAAAAGTAGATTCTTATCACAAAAAGGACAGGGATTCTTGAGCCCAAAATAAAGAGTCCAATTGTCTGACCAGGGAATGGGTAGAGGAAATGAGTGGAAGGGGTTGAAGTATATTTCTCCTTACTCTGGATGGTTTGGGACTTGGTATTTTGGTATAAAGCAGATCATCCCTTGTATATTTTTAAATGGTTAAATTGGTGAACTTTATGTTATGTGAATTTTATCACAAAAAATTCCCATAAGTACGCGTGCGTGCACACACACACGCACGATTCCTAGCTCTCTTGGAAGGCATGATCACTTCTGTGCATTGGCTCTTACCAAGTGTGTGAGCTGATTGCCCCTGTCCAGTATGTGCTCACTTTTTAAAGAAAAATATGTTTTTATTGATTTTTAAGAGAGGAAAGGAGAGGGATAGAGAGATAGAAACATCGATGAGAGAGAGACATCATTCATCGGCTGCCTCCTGCACGCCCCCTACTGGGGGTAGAGCCTGCAACCCAGGCATGTGCCCTGACCAGGGATGGAACCATGACCTCTTGGTTCCTGGGTCGACACTCAACCACTGAGCCACACCGGCCGGGCAGTATGCACTCATTTTGAAGCATGGGTTTGTAAGGCCTTCCTCTGTGGAAACTCCTGGTCCCGCCAGCAGAGCCAGCGCCTCTGTCTCTTGCTACTCCACATACCTCCACTTAGTACATGTTTCCTTCAGCCTTGTACTGTAATTGGTTTAATGAAAACTCTCCCAAGAAGGGGACAGAAGACGAGAAGGGAAGTCTCTGTGAAGGGAGGGGAGACTGACCAAATGGCACCAACTCTGGCCCCACCGAGTGCTCCACGCTGTGAGCAGTGTCCTGTGGCCCCAGTTTCCTGCTCCACGGCCGGCCTTCGGGGGGAGCTAGCCCACTTGTAATGCTCCCAACCAGAGTGTGAGCCAGGAACTCAGGCACAGATAAGAATTATAGCACAAACTTTTCTAAAATTAAAGAATAGCCTAAAGGAAATAAACCAAGAAAAGAAAAGAGAAAAAAAGACAAAAATTAACTGAAGCCCTGGTTTCTGCTTCTGTCACAGCTCATCAGGCCTCCAGCTCCTGATAGTGGCTGATATGTCTCTGCTGGCAGGAGCTATTTTACTTCCCCCCACAGGGGCCCCTTCACCTCCATTACAACCAAAGCAAAAAGCAAACCAGACTACAGATTCTAAACTACAACCTTGGGGACGCTCCCTCTTTGATTTGGTCATGTTTCTGGGGGATTTGTATGATTTGGTGGCTTGTGGGGATTGGCTCAATGGGTGATGATGAACCTCCTTTCCCACAGGCAGTGGCTGTGCACAAGGCAGAGTCCTGGGTCAGCTGTCCTTCGTGAGCATCAGAATCATGGGGAGAGGGGTGGGGCTTGAAAAATACTAATGCCCAGGCCCCACTTCAGACCAATTCAATTGGAATCTCTGCAGCAGTGCCCAGTATTTTTATAAGTGTCCTTTAGGGGATTCTGATACACATTTAGGATTGAGAATCTCTGCAGTAGGCTGCCAGTGCCTTGAGGACGGGGGACTTGGAATACTCCCCAATCCCATACTGACCCCCTCCACGCTCAAAAATAATTGTTCCATAGAATAGAATTGGTTGGGGGCATGTTTAACAGTTTAGCGCCAAGGTCTATACTAACTCCTCACAATAACACTCTCCAGAGGTGGCTACTCTGCTGACTATCATCCTTATATTATACCGAGGGGTCAGGTCCCTTGCCCAGGACCACACCGCTGCTTTGTCGTGCTAACCAATATTGCCTCATTCTGCACTGGGAGTGTAGGAGAAGGGGCTCAGACACCAATGGTCCCTAGGAAGAGAGACATGGCAAGATTAGGATAGAGTGAGATCATCTCCTTGATGATTATTTGCCCTTTTTCTCAGCCCCACGTGCAGGGGAAGCTGAAAGAACGCTGGAGGAGCATCATGAAAAACTCCCTCATCCAGACAATTGACACATCCTTGGGGAAATGAACAACAATTTTTTGTTATGGGTATGGAGTTGCCAGTGTTTAATCCCCTTTAAATCAAACCCTGTACTCGATGTTTTGTACCCAGGTAAGAGTCATTAATTAAAGTCTTCGTTGTTTGGGGCTCATATGTTCTTGTCAAGCTGTAGAATTTGTGTTTTAGTTTGTATGTTTGTTTTGAGCTTGAAATAGAAATAATAGTGGAGTGGTGGGTGCTTGGAAAGTACTTCTTAGACGTCTATTGAAAATGTCAAGATGCCTTTGCAGGTGTTCCTCATTTTTACAGTGGCGTGTCTTTGAAAAGTTCTCTTTTTTTCTCCCCTCCCCTCCCCCCCTTCCTCCTTAATTCCCCTCCCTCTCTCATCCTTTCCAAATCAACCTACATTTTGCAAGACCTAGAGGAAGCTGCTATTTAGAGAAATAGGCTGATCGATCCTCTAGGTAGAGACTGCCAGCCTGATTTTCCCTTTTTGGTAGACCTGATTTTTGTGCTGCTCATTTGTTTTTTAGTGTTAGGCCTGATGTACAAGAAGTCCACTGAAAACCTAGGCAGAGGGAGGATTGCATTGAAGAACTCAGATCTTGCTTTAAAGATTCAATTTCTATGATACATTTGTAGGAGGAGGCTAATTTCTTTGGACTATAGTTTAAACTCCTGTCACTACCCTTCTTTTTGTTCAGCAATTCTTAATAAATTTACACGGGGAACAGCAGCTTCCTCAAATATTTCTCTGAAAGATCTACTCGAAGTCAATAGGCTGTGTAAACATGACTGCCCAAACCGAATGTAAAATTAGTTAGAAGGGTGCCGTTACGAAACGCGCACACGGTTTGAGGGAGCGCGAAGAGGGTGGAGTGGGAGGAAGTGGGACTAGAGGCACATTTGTCTTCATGGGGACAGAGCCAGAGAAGAGGGTCCTGAAATGGAAACTTTTGTCTCCTTCATACTCTGACCTGAGCTCTTTCCTCTACCATACCCTAAAGCCACTTCAGTGTTTGGAACATTCAGGGAAGAGTCCGGTTTTCGTTTTGTCATTATGACCCCAGGAATTGGTTCATCAGATAAATTAGGAAAAGGAATTTAAAAATTAAAGGAGAAAAAAGCCCTCCTAAAACAAAAGCAATAAAACAAAACTCATTTACCTTCTTCTCAGAATTTCAGCCAAGTAAAGGTATATATTACAACAAACATTGCACCTATGGAAAACAGACAACTTGCTTAAATTACACCTGCTTATGCGTTCTCAGAGTGTCTGAGCTGTGGTTGTCAGTTTGCTATTTCAGTGTCTAAGTCGTCATCAAAAGTAAAAAATACTGTATTACATTAAGACTGAGGTACAGGTCTCAGAAAGGGACCACTTACAAAGATTATAAGCTGCCAAAGGAAATAAATTCTAATGAATCAGTACCTTGTGCCAGTTATTGCTTTTTCATGTTCAGTTTCTTTTTTCATGTTCAGTTTTTTTGAGCATAACTCCTTAATTCGATTAATGGATAAGATTTAAAATGCCCATTCTTATTTAAAGTATTTATTCTTTTTTTTTTCTCAACTCAATCTGCCTTTTTCTCATTTTTTGATCTGCTAACTCTTTTGTTTAAATGATTTCTATTTTACCTTTTTATTTTTCCAGCTATTACTTTAGTTCTGAGGGATCATATTGGGCCAGGGTTGCAGTTGAGACATTTTTGTTTTGGAGTTTATAATAACATGTATAATTCTGTGCCATATTGGGGTTTGGGTTCCTTTGGGGAAGATCTTTGTCATTAAACATAATAAAAAGTCCCACTTGTCTTCTTTCAATGTGTTATTCCTTTCTTGACTTTCACAGTTGCTGATCTATCAAAGCCTGGACCATATTTTACAGGCATTATTTCACAGGGTCTGGGTTTGCAGAGACTCTTGGGAAAATCTCCCTCGTGGAGCCTGGGCCTTCGAAGCAAAAGCCACCATACAGTGAGGCAATTTCCCTATGGCCATCCAACTGACCCAAAGTTAGCTGAAGCCTGTAGACCCTGAATTATAAATAAGATTTAAAAAATGAGAGTGTATATAAGTTTAACATAAAAGAAGGTGGTTGGTTTTAAATGTATGATTAAGAGGATGGATGGGTTATATGTGTAAGTTCAGCCTAGCCCCCGACTGCCTGGCCACTCTGAATAGTAGTCATGGCTCTGCTTGATTAATTCCTTTAAAGGAGACCTCTGGTCTCTCTGAGAGCAACCCGAGGAGAGGCCTTTCTTCTAATCTGTGTGTGACCAGTGAATCTGCTGGCACCGCCCAATGGGACTTCCGTGCTTCTCTGAATAGGGGACCCATTCCAGCACTCCTCGTGGATGTGCAGGTCTTGGGGAGAAGCCCCTCCTCTCTTCCCCTGTACCGGGAACTCTGCTGACAATAAGAACTGCCACCCTCAGGTTCCCAGGTCTGTCCCCTCCCTCTCCTCCACACTGGGTCTAGGGGCAGCAATAATGACTTTGTTCATCAGAGAGGCGAAGCTGTGCTTAGCGTCGCCTTCAGAACTAGGAAATTTGGCAAAAACTGGGTCATGCCTAGGACACGGGCTTTCCCTGGGGCAAATGGGTCCTTTCCAGGATGGCTGGGTTGTTGGAGCTTCAGCAGAGTGAGGAGCTCCCACTCTGAAAATTTCCCTTGAGATTCTGTATCTTTTAGAGGGATTCTCCTGCACCCGATAAGTATATATTTTTCTTCCTTTTTTCTTATCTTTATTTTTAAAAGAAGCTCATAGACCATAGTATCCTCACCTACCCGTAAGAATCACCTGCTGGGGCTCATTTGCTCTCTCTGGCAACCACAGCTTTGCTTCCTCTCCAAGACCATGCAGGCCAGTCGGACAGACAGAATACAGCAGAATGTATGGCTGGGTTTGCTTTGTTTGTGTGGGAGGGTCACGTGGGGGAGGACGTTAATCTTCATGGGGACAGCAGGAACTCTGAGGTGGCAGCACTGAGTGACTCAGCATTTCGCGGCCTGCCCCAGAAATGATGGAGGGAATTTGGCTGCTGAGTCACCAGGATTAGGACTTTCCAATGAAGAGGGAGAAGGAAGACCCTGGCAAGGCACAGAGTTGGCTCTAAGGTAAGAGTTGAAATCCATGTGGTGGGTCTTGGGCCTTTGTTTTGTGATTGGTTGTGGATGGTTTTGAACCAGCCGGGGTAACTGCATGTCCTGCTTAGCCTGGGTGGGTGTGAAGGGGCATTTATCCTAGGCCCTTTCCTAGAGGAGGCCGGGACGAGAGCAGCTTAGAGGGGCTTGGGAGAGCTACAGTCTTTTAAAGATCTTCCCCTCCAACCTTGGGAAGTCCCGAATCCCAGCAAAGAAATGGAAAAGGCTTTTCCCTTCTTTCTTCCCCCTCTTTCTCTCGTTCTTCCATTCCTTTGTTTAGTGCCTCAGTTTGCCAGGCACTGTATCAAATGCTCCATGAGGGCACAATCGAGTAGGTGAGAAGACTGAGGCTCTGGAGTGACAGCACCTAGATTTGAATCCTGATTTACTGGCTGAGTGACTCAGTCAAACAACTTAATTTCCTTGTGCCTCAGTGTCTTTCTGTGTGAAATGGAGGTAGTAATAGTATCTATTTTGTAACAATGTCATAAAGTAATGAGTCAACACATTTAAATAAAGCACTTTAAATTAGTGCCTGGCATAAAATAAGCACTCAGTAAGTATTAGTTGTTATTATTCTTATTAAGTTATTTGCAGAAAGCATTTTTCCTTTTTTTTGCTAAGGACACAGAAGCTCAGAAAAACCAATGTGTATCAGAGGCAATTTCCAAACCCCAGTTTGTCTTGTTTACAAACCTCTTGTTTTTTCTACCACTTTCTACCACCCCTTAGTTGTCACCTGGTTGTCCCTGAGGCTGGTGCATGCTGGATAATTCAACCTAAGGGGTTTGAAAAACTGAACTCAGCATTTCCATAGAGTGACAGGGCAATTAAGGTCTCTTGACAGAAGCTGGAATGAGGTTAAAACACTTCTTGTTTAGGCCAACAATAGATGCTTTCTGCTCTTATTTCCTGTCATTGTGATATTATGTTTGTAAATAGCATTTTTGGGAATCCCCCCGCCCCCCAAATAAATATCCCTGTTCCTTTCCCTCCAGGAACTAACACTCAAATTGGTATCTTTAACTGAGATAAATATCACACCTATTTTAGTGAAATGACTTCCAGGAACAGACTGCGTGTGAGAGATGCCATTGTTGGAAGTGCTGGATTCAGGGTGAGAGCTCCTTGTCATGAAAGCTCATTTGTCATTGCGTAAGGGAAGTTTAACACAGGTCAATGACGACATCCTCTATTCACTGAGTCATGCAGTCTCCCAGCCCTGATATATAACTAAATTGATTCCATAGCCTTGCATGGAATCCCTCAACTTGTATTTATTAAGCTCCTACTATGTGCTCAGTATTGTACTGGGCTCTTTGGGGTAGGGGATGAGTTAGGCAAAGGCGTGCCCTTCTGGAGTATCCAGAATTATTAGGGCAATGAACTATGTCAAGCGTGACTATCAAAAGGTGTTCCAAACTCAAATGCCTTCAGGACCAGGCAGGATTTGTGACTGTCAGAAGCAGTGGGGTTTGAAGTAATGGTGAGTGATGGGGTCTGGGGTGAAATGGAGAGCGTAACTTCACCCCCTCCACCTCCTGCAAGGTGTTCAAATTCTTCAAATTCAAATCCAATACAAAAGGCTCTATGGCCACACGAAGCTGGTCTGAAGCTGGCTCTTGCCTACAGACACCAGTTTTGACTCTTATTAAATAATATGAAATAATAGCTGAAGTTTGTGGAACTTAATTCATTATGTTATAATCAAGTCTCATTAATTAACTTAATAATACAAGGCAATATATGATTATGTACCAAGGCACTGTTGCTTCACTAGGTTCCATGAGATAAGAAATAAAGGGGTCTTGGGGCCAGAGGCCAAGAATGCCAAGAATTTACTTTTGACATTAAGGAACAGGAAGATCAGGTGAAAAGGTTTGGGAGAAGTGACGCTATTGGAGTCTAGTGAAGGATGTGTACATGGAGAAGAAGGGAATATCCTCGAGGGATATTTCCTGAAGTGTCTTAAGCTTTGGGCCTGGTATTTTATTTTTTTAAAAAAT